CAGCTAGAAACCTATTGTTAACATTTTAAATATTTGTTAAAATAATGAGTCAGCTTTAATAAATTAAATATTATATATAAAACATATCATTTTAATTCTCAAAGCCCAGTGTAGAAGTATGGGGATTGTACCTTCTAGTGTCTAGTCAGCTTGACACACAATAGTCTTTTGGGAAGAGAGAACCTCAATTAAGAAAATGGTCCCAGACTGATGGCTGGGAACCCAGCATGGGACTGATCAAGATCCCCTGAATGTGGGTGTTAATAAGGAGGCCTAGTCAATCTATTGAGCCTTGGGTAGTAGATCAGTATTTATCCCTGGCATACAAATGGACTTTGGGTGCCCATCCAACAATGAGAGATACACTCTCACCTTGGACTCTTGGGGGGAGGGTTAGGCCCTGCCCTGGATAAAATGACAGACTATGGACACCCCCATGGAGGGCCTCACCCTCCCTGGGGAAATGAAGAGGTATTGGGGGGATTGGTGGGAGGACGTGGGAGGAGAGGAGGGAAAAGGAGAAGGACTTGGGATTGACATGTGAAGCAACCTTGTTTCTAATTTAAATTTAAATTTAAAAAGAAAAAGAATAAAGAAAATGGTCCCACCATACTAACCTCTGAGTTACCTTGTGGGGCATTTTCATAATTAATGATAAATATGGTAGGCTTAGATCACTGAAGGAAGCACCACCTCTGGGTTGTGGTCCTGGATGGTTTAAGAAGAAGTCTGAAATGAAAAAGATACCTTGATAGAAGAAGTCATTTTGAGGTTCAGGAGAAATCCGGTGCTAGAGAAATTCTTAGAAATCTACAAGGATGACCCTGGGTAGGACTCCTAGCAATAAAGGAGAGGGTGTCTGAATGGGTTGTCGCCTTTAATCAGATTAGTGACTACCCTAATTGTCATCATAGAACTTGCATCCAGTAATTGATGGAAGCAGATGCAGTGACCCACAGCCAAGCACTGGACTGAGCTCCTGAAGTTCAGCTGAAGACAAGGAGGAGGGAGCATATGAACAGAGTGGGTCAAGACCATCATGGGGAAAACCACAGAGACAGCTGTCCCAAGCTAGTAGGAGCTCATGGACTATGGACTGACAGCTGGGGAACCTGCATGGGACCAAACCAGACCCTCTGAATGTGGGTGACAGTTATGTGACTTGCTCTGTTGGAGGGCCCTGGCAGTGGGACCAAGATCTATCCTAATGTATGAACTGGTTTTTTGGAACCCATTCCCTATGGTGGGATACCTTGCTCAGCCTTTATACAACGGGAAGGGGCTTGGTCCTGCCTCAACTTGGTACTCCAGACTTTATGGACTCTCCAAGGAAGGTCTTGTCCACTGTGATGAGTGAATAGGGGGTGAGAAGGGGAGGGAGAGGAATATGTAAAATGAAAAACAAAATTTTTAAAGAAAGAAAGAAAGCAGGCTGAGAACGGCAGGAGGAGCAAGCCAGTAAGCAGCATCCCTCCATGGTCTCTACATCAGTTCTTGCCTGCAGGTTACAGCCTTGCTTCAACTCCTGCCCCAACTTCCCTCAGTGATGGAGTACAGCCTGAGAGTTGTGAGATGAAATAAACCCTTTCTTTCCCAAGTTGTTTTAGTCATGGAATTGTGCCACAGCAGTAGAAACCATAAAACAGGATCCATACAAAAGTATGAGGATCAAAACTAAACCCTCAGAGCCCCGTAGCAGGAGGATTTCATGCATGCATCTAGCATGTATGAGTCCCTGAATTTAGTGCCCAGGACTTGAGGAAAAAGAGTTAAATACTAAGGAGTAATATCTTATCAATTAACGACCAAGAGAGCATTGGATGTCAACAAAATACTCTACTAGCTAAGTTTGTTATTGTTTGGTTGATTAATTTTTTGCCTTGTTGGTGGCATCATTCCTACCAAGAATTATTGGCTAACAGTCATCTTAATAGTGTATTTTCCTAAAATGATCATCTCATACTCCTCCACACTTCCTTGTGCCTCTGATTGGCTCACAATGCTGTCCAGGATTTCCCAGAACAAACCCAGCCAATCACTCCCCTCCTTCAGTGCTTTGGCCCATTCTTCTTCTTCTTTTTCTCTTTCTTTCTTTCTTTCTTTCTTTCTTTTTTTTTTTTTTGCTGGCACTCCCCTGATTCATGTCTAAAATCCATAAATGAGTGAGACATACCATGTTTGTCTTTTTGTGACTGGGTTACCTCACTCAGGATGGTTTCTTCTAGTTCCATTCATTTGCCTGCAAATTTCAAGATTCCATTGTTTTTTTCTGCTGAATAGTATTCCATTGTGTAAGTGTACCACATTTTCTCTATCATATCTTCAGTTGAGGGGCATCTAGGTTGCTTCCAGGATCTGGCTATTACAAATAATGCTGCTATGAACATAGTGGAACAGACATCCTTGTTGTATGAATGTGCATCTTTTGGGTATATGCCTAAGAGTGGAATTGCTGGGTCTTGTGGTAGACTGATTTTCCTGAGGAATCTCCATACTGATTTCCAAAGTGGCTATACAAGTTGGCATTCCCACCAGCACTGGAGGAGGGTTCCCCTTTCTCTACATCCTCTCCAGCATAAACTGTCATTGGTGTTTTTTTTTTTTTTAGCCATTCTGACAGGAGTGAGATGGTATCTCAGAACTGTTTTGATTTGCATTTCCCTAATGACTAAGGATATTGAGCACTTTCTTAACTGTCTCTCAGCCATTTAGACTCCTCTATTGAGAATTCTCTATTTAGCTCTGTATCCCACTTTTTGATTGGCTCCTTTGATGTTTTGGAGACTTGCTTCTGAAGTTCTTCGTAAATTTTGGAGATGAGCCCTCTGTCAGATGTGGGTTTAGTGAATATCTTTTCCCAATCTTTGGATTGCCTTTTTGTCTTGATGACTGTGTCCTTTGCCTTACAGAAGCTTCTCAGTTTCAGGAGGTCCCATTTATTAATTGTCGATCTTAGTGTCTGTGCTTGGCCCATTCTTAAAATAAAATAAAAGTCACACTGTTGAACCATCCTCAACCTGGTCTTTATGTTGGTGTCATCACCTGGACCATTTCCAGCCCTCTTCTCAGCTCAGATGCACAGATATCCATTACACAGAACCACACTGAGCCACGGGGATGCTGTACCTGTTGTTCTGTGTGAATACTTCTCTGCTTTCCCTGCTTACTTTAAATCACTTTCTTTAGACTTTTGCTTAATTAAATTTGCCTTTAATAAGCTGATATGAACATATCCTCCCTTCAGCAATACTCATCACCACTGGAATTTAATATTTACTTGTGTCGTTTATTCCTTCATCCATTCATTCTCAGACAGGGTCTCATGATGAAGCCCTGGCTAGTCTTGAATCTGCAATGCTCCTGCCTTTTAAGTTCTAAGGAAATAACACCCAGTTGTACTACAGAAAGATAATAAACTCAATTCTTTTACTCACCAATATCTCTTCATTCTCTGTCAAAAACTGGCATGTAGGAGTTGTCTACTAAATTTTCTGAATAAAGGCAAAGTTGGCTCATTGTCTTACAAAGTGTTTGCTAATAAAAAGAAGTACAATGTCAATGGCAGTTATATCATAGCAACCGGAATAATAAACTCTAATAATCAGTAATACAACTAGACATTGTGTTTTCCTTAAACTGCGGTCCATTAATCTTAAAGGTCAATCTAACAAATTACATTTGACTGAAAGCAACCACACTGTCACCTCAAAATGCTATCATATGTAGGCGATGACAAAGCTGTTCTATATATAATTTCTCTTTGATATTTCATATCACATCCTGGGAACTTGCAATCCCTTAGGGACACCATTGTGAATCATACTTAATCATGGTACAATTCAGCGGTCTCAGACAACACAGGATTACTTGGTGGGTGAGGGGGGTCTGTAAAAACTGCTGTACCAGCAATTCACTTCCAAGCCTTCTGCTGTGCTATAGGCTGTAGATAATACCCCAGCACACAAGCATGCATGCGGGAGCAGATCCCACAAGCACAAGTGTGAAAGCAGCCACTAACCTCTATCCATAGCAAGTGCCAATTGTACCCTTACAGTTCAACTGTTTCATGTTGCCCACGCTGAGGGCTGCAAAAAATGCTGAAGACTATTATAGGTTTCAGCCAAAAAATTTGGGGCTTAACCCTGTTCCCATCATGAAACAATTGCATGACTTCAGAAAATGCATTTGCCATCATTTTTTAGGCTAGAATGGATAAATGGGATTTGACGAGTTTCACCCTTGGTTAGGATATTAGTATGTAACATAAGAATACAAGAACATGCAAATATATATATATATATATATATATATAATGGCACATTGGCTGAGATGGCTAGCTTATTAACTTTCTATTATTTTTATAACAAATTCCCTTGGGATGGGGGCTTACAGCCACAAAAGAGAATTGTCTTTCAATTCTACTGGTCAGAAGTTCAGTATGGTTCCACTAAGGCTAAAATTAAGCTACTGATGCACTTTCTGGTGATTCCAGAGAAATTTGTTTCCTTGCCTCTTTTGGTTTCTAAAGGTTACCCTGTTCCTAGGCTTATGGTCTCCTTTCTGCACCAGTGGGTTTCATTCTCACATGAGATCTTTCAGGGCCTCCCCTGGATGTCATTATGTCATTATCTTCTCTCTCTCTCTCTCTCTCTCTCTCTCTCTCTCTCTCTCTCTCTCTCTCTCTCTCTCTCTCTCTCTCTCTCTCTCTCTCTCTCTCCATGATAAAATCTAGAATTTATGCAGTTCTCAACCCATGTGTCATGAGCCCTTTGGGTGTTGGCATATCAGATATTCACATATCAAATAATAACAGTAGCAAAATTACAGTTGTGAAGTAGTAAATGAAATAATTTTATAGTCAGGCACCATCACAATATGAGCAGTTGTATTAAATGGTCTCAGTATTAGGAAGGCTGAGAACCACTGAACAGCCCTGGCCTTGCTAGATAAATACACTGTTATTGGCCTACATCCCCAGTCTCTAAGATTTGTTTTTCAATGGATGTAGCAGTGACCACTATCAAACTCCAGTCACAGAGGCAAGTTCTAGGCATGTTAGCAAAAATTCTGCCGTATATTCAAGGTAGCACACTTTCGACACTCAGAAATTCACTGGCCAAGGGTGGCCTCCACTCTGAGCTTTAATAGCGTACAGCAGCCTCTCAGAATTTATTCTGTTAGTTGGACTCACTTGTGTAATCCAGGATAATCCCCCATCTCAGATCCTTACTTTAACCACACCGCATAGCCCTTGCTTTCCTCATGAATGTCCTGGAACTTAGGATGCCTACCATTGGAGATAATTGTTCTGTCAACCATAGCTACTTGCATTGCAGCATCAGTTTCCTCTTCTTCAAAAGTAGGAACTCCATGTTATTAGGTTTCCTTTGAAGAATTTGATGGAATGGAAATAGAAGTGGTAGGTGAAGCTTCTGGGAGTTTCCATAAAGGGCATTTCTTTCTCTTTTGCACTTTATGTTGCCCCAAATACACATACGTAAGATGATGGGTCTAGCATTCAGCCTATGATACAAAAGGCAATGTTGATGAGCATGGCAGGGCGATGGGAAAGTAGACCCCAACTATGGGTGGTCAAACCAATGTGTCAACACTGTTTCAAAGCTAGGAAGAAATGCAGCTCTCTCCTTTTCTTTGTCTCAGTTATCTATGGCTTTCATGCTTTCAGCCAAATGCAATCCTCTCAGATACACAGGCTGCAATGAAACCAACACACTAAAATACAGAGAGAAAGACGAATGGAATGGGAGCGAGGAGAGACTTGGGATCTTCCCAGGCTTATACCAGTTAATAAAGGAGAAGCCATGGGAATGGACATGGCCACATACATGGCCTCAAGAAAGGTGTGGTTGGGCAGGATGGATACACAAGGAATACGTAACAGGGCTCACATTTATCAGCCTTTCCCACAAGGGAGGCTCTAGCATGCTAAAGTTCTTTTCTACCAACATTAGAAGAACCAAGCTTTAAAAAATGAAAACATTATTAATTTTCAGTGAAGATAAAACAGGCTCTCCCCAAATCTCAATGACTTAAAATAACAAAGCTTTATTTTTCTCTCAGCCCATCCATACGTCTTGGGTAAGAAGGGATCTGTGCCATTTCAATCATGCAGGAACTTAGACTGGAAAATGCTCATCTTAGTATGTGCTTCCTAGATCATGGCAGCAGGCAACAGGAAGTAGAGCATAGTAGTTTGAATGAGCAATGTCCCCCATAGGCTCAGGCACTTGGCTTCTTGGTGCCCAGTTGAAGAGGTTTTGGAAAAATAAAGCCTTGCTAAAGGAAATACGTCACCGGGGTGGCTTTAAGAGCTCCTAGCCTCTGCCCACTCCCAGTTTGTTCTCTCTGTTTTGTGCTTGTAGTTGAAGATATGAGCTCTCATCTGCCTGCTCCTGCCACTATTCCTGCCCCTTGCTGCCAGGCTTCTCACTCTGGAACCACAGGCAAAATAAAGTCTTCCTCGAATAAGTTGCTTTTGGTCATGGTATTTTGTCACAGCAACCGGGAAAGTAACGAAAATATACAGTAATTGTATGCTGGATCTCAGGGATCATGTCATTCAAGCAGTCTTGTTCATAATAGTGAAGAACTAGAAACACCCCTAAAGTCTATTGCTGGATGAGTGGGTAAATAATATGTGACATATTTATAGAACAGAATATTATCCAACATCAAATAAGAAGTAAACCCCATGATGGCAGGAAAACGAATGGAGATGTTGTGCTCAGTAAAATAAGACAGGGGAAAAGAGAAAAATACTATAAGGCTCCATTTACATGGTGACCTAGAGTAATATAACTTGTAGAGAAAACTGGTGGTTACCAAGTGGACAGAATGGCGATTACAAGGGACTGGGAAGTGGGGGGGGATGTCAGGAGCTGTTTGGCACCTCAGGTTTCCATTTTGCAAGATGAAAATACTCTGGAGATTTCTTTCATGAAAGCATAAAGCAGGGATATTTGGTGAATGCTAACCACGATTACCAGCCTTCTCCTTTGGGTGCAAATACGTCCTTCTCTTTTCTTCTAGTACATAAAGTATTTCCACAGACTTACTGGCAAAGAGAACTCACAAGTCTCACATATAGGAGAGCTTCTACAACAGGCCTATGCATACCTTCTCATGTTGACCCACAGTCCAATATCTGACTGGTTAGGAGTTATAGAATGCCTGCTTTGGAGTTGAGGAATGATTCTTAAATATTCCACATGAGCTCCTAGGAAGGGCTCGTTGTCCACTGACTTCCAGGATTCTAGGATTCTCCCTTCAGCAAGTTTTACTCTGCCCTTGCTAAGATGGTCATTGAGACTTGAGAATATGCCTACTTTAAATGTTGGACAGCTTTCCCAATCTACTTCCTGCCTATATTTATTGAGACGCTGAGTGTTACTTCAAGTCTCAGAGAACCATGGTCACATGTAGTCCAAATTGGAACCTTCTAATGATGAAACTGTCCTACAAACCTATGCTTCCTTGACTTCCTACCTACTTTCTAGATATATTTTTGTATTTTCCTGCCCCAGTGTCTGCCTTTAGTCTGTTATGTTTCACCCACCTAAACTCTCTTTCCTTTTATTAGCAATGGAACTTTCCTGAACCATTTTAAGTCATTTTGAGTCATCTGGTCCAACTGTACGACATCAAAGGACACCACAGCCCATGTGATCACTGATCTGACTTTTGATGAGTTTTATCAGCTTTTGTTGCTCAAGCAGTAATTTTATCTTTCATCACTTGGGGTGAGAGGCAGTTGCGTTTTCCAGTGTTATGAAGTCCTTGAATTTGCAGACTCTTTCACTTATCCTTACAAACTAATTCCTCTCTGAATAGATACATTTTTTTCTTACAGTAGATTAGCAAGTGCAACTTGTAGAAACCGATAAACAATTAATATCTTATTTCGACCTTTACCCTAAAGTCAGTTGTGCCATTTTTATTTTCCAATTTGTTGCAGACAAAAAGTTTTACCAAATGTGTCAATACTAGGATATGTGGATCTCTATGCCTCTAGTCCTCAGTAATAGTTTTCTGACTCCCTCTGAAGATCCATTAAATCAAAACAACATACTTCAAAGTTTACCATTAAAGATATACCCCACTCTTAGATTATAAGTTCTATGTCATTTCAGAATAAGGTATAATTCATAAGCAACAAATTTTCTAAAGTTCCAGAAGCTTAAATAAGATATTTATTTTCTTAGTTGTGCCCATTGGAGTATGATACTATCTAATATTATGTCAACTTGACACAAGCTAGAGTCATTTGGGAAGAGGGAAACTCAACTGAGAAAATGTCCAAATCAGATTGGCCTGTGGACAAGTCTATGGTGCATTTTCTTAATTTGTGATGTATGTATGAGGGTATGGTGGGTAGTGCCACCCCTTAGCAGTAGTCCTGGGGTACATAAGAAAGATGGTTGAGCAAGTCTTGGGAAGCAAGCCAGTAAGCAGAAATCCTCCATGGCCTCTGCATCATTTTCTCCCTGGAGTTCCTCTTGTCTTGACTTTCCTGGATAATGGATTGCAAGCTGTAAAATGAAATAAACCCCTTCCTCCCCAAAGGTTTATTTCCTCCCTGTTGCTTTTGGTAACCGTGTTTTGTAAAAGCAACAGAAACCCTAACTCAAACAAGTGCTTCTAAAGGTTCTGTTTACCACATACACTCAAAGGCACACAAACATAGTGGATCTCTCTACATGCTCTCCCCCAGGCACAGCTTCAGTAGTAAGGAGTACAACTCATAAAGCTGTGAATAATCGATAAGTTCCATAAGCTGTGATTTTTCTGCAAAGACACGCCCTACCCAATGTAAGGGTAGAGAGACTCGATGTTTAGTGGTTTGTAAAATAGCTGGAAGAACTAAAGAAACAGATTCTAGGTTAGAAGGAAGGAAAACAAAAGAAACAGATTCTAAGTAGCTGGAAAGTCTCCCAAAGTCACTCCTTAGATCTGGTCATCAAAGGAAGTCACACCTCTTTTGCCATCAAAACACTCTACAAATCAAAACACTGTCTCAATCAAGAAGACACTGTCCCTGGTGTATAATAGGCCTGCTATGCCTGTAGAGTGGATGCTGGGAGAACCAGAAGGCTAGTGCCTAGGATCTTTACTGACACAGACATGATGGAGGATGTCCTTCAATATATATGTTTCTCTTATTGGTTGATGAACTAAACACTGTTTAGCCCATAAAGGCAGGAAGATAGGCGGGACTAGAAGACAAGGATGATTACGGGAAAGGTAGGCAGAGAGAGACCTCAAAGAGATGCCATGTAGAGATGAGGAGGATAGGACACGCCAGCGTTCTCTGGTAAGATATGGCTATGTAGAAATACATAAATTAGTAGTTATGGGTTAGTAATTAAGACAGAGCTAACCAATGAGAATCCCTATCCACCGGCCAACAGTTTAATAATTAATATAAGTCTTTGCTTATTTTGGGCTGAAAGGTGGCTATGGAACCTCACTGGAAGGAAACTCCAGCAACCCAGAAAAGCAGGAAACAATCGCCACATAGATAGAGCAAGTGCAGTTGCCTATAACCTCCATTTTCTATTTCTCATGTATGCCTGTCTGATTATCTATGCGCAAGTCACACGCAGAACCCGAGTTGCAACAGAGACTCCAGCATCTGAGGTAGGACAAAGACAACATCAAACAACTCTCCAACACTTCTGTCATTTAAAGCAGAGCAATGGGTCATGATGTGGGGCAGCTATAAAACACCTGCTTGTCATTTCACCCTCATCTACTCCAACTTTAAAAGAGTCCTATTCAATGTATAAAAAATAGGCTCTTGGAAATTCAGAAAAAATTAAGTTTCTGGTGTTTTTATAGTCTAAAAAGAAATAGACTTTTCTTCAAACAAAATATGTAAAGCACTATGTTTCAGCCAAATGGATATGACCATAATTCAACAATCACTTTGTTTTTCCTATGCGGTACAGTGTCATCTGGGGATTGTTTTCAGATACACTTCACAGGCATCATCTGCATGTGGCAACTTTGATCAAATAGGTGTTTAGTTTTCGCATACAGGAAGCAATATGCTGCTGGTGATTCAGAGCCAGGACAGAGACTCAGAAGCCCAGCTTCTAGAACTTGCACCCTTAATTTGAAGCCCTTGTATCTTTTG